TAATAATGTACTTGTTCTAATAAATTTATATTGTAATGTACTCATAATAATATATTTTTAAAAAATCATCTTTGCATTGCTGGTAGGTTATCATTGCACAAATTAACACACTCTCTACATTTAAAAACGAAAACTTAGAAGAGTTCTAAACTAATGCGCTGTCTTCACTGTATCTCACGCACACACACGCTCAGTCACTCACACGGATCACCCTGCGGCTGCACTCAGACATTCAGCAACAAACTTATAAGCGCTGCCCCGCAATTTTCTCAATAAAATAGCTTAATCGCTTAAGACTACATTATCTTTCTCAACAAGTAGCTGGTAACATCATTGTTTCTAAAGGACTTAAAGCCACAGCTTCACTGTTAATTGAGAAATGAGGCAAAACGGTGGTAATTCATACATATACAGCCTCTCTCTCATATATAAATACACACTTGATGAATTACACTTTACTGAGAATAGAATATTGAAGTGGAGATCGCTAAACTGCAAGCTTACCAATGTTTTCTGAAAGCAGGCGCGTTTATCCACAGTGGAGAGAGAGTGTGCGCACTAAGGCTGCCACTAACGACTATTTTTATTTCGATTAATCTACCGACTAATTTGTCGATTAATCTAAACAATTAATTTCCCACAAAAACACAACTATTTTACTTAAGAATATTTTATTAAACTATATTTTATCAAACCAAATGAAATACACATTTCTATGAATTCCTTTTTTTAAAGTAAAAGTAAAGTGCAAAAAAAGTGTTTTGCCAGTTAGTCGACGCGAGCAAAATGAAGTCGAGGATTTTAAAAAATCGAATAGTCGAATAAAATCGACGAATCGCGACAGCCCTAGTGTGCACATGGTTGCCAGGTTGACAAAGATAAGTAACACACTTAGCAGATATTTCCGTATTGCGCAAGTGTGAAGCTCTGTTTCGTGGATTACGTAGGCAACCCAGTTGTGTTGCTCTGCGGCCAGATTAAGAGGTTTGAGTTGTAGACTATAGTATATGTTATGCTCTATTCATTATTTTTTTTTAGAAACCTCACACTTTTCTACTCCTCTACTCCAAGTGTTTTTGTATTCAAATTAAGTGCGGTCCACTGCTGCACACGTGCAACAATATCGATACAGGGCAAACTGTATCGATACTCGTATCGTCAAATCTCGATTAGGGCTGGGCAAAAAAAAATTTTTTTTCCGATTAATCGTTTCTTGTAAATAACGTTGATTCGATATTGATTCTCAAAAGCGGCGAATCTATCTTTTCCTGTATTTATTTCAGCACACATTTAAAACGAGATCTGATTAACATGAATCTTATCATTAGTCTTCTCCACTAGATGTCACCCTTATTTACCTTGCGCGATGTTACAACAGAAAGCCTGTCATTCATTCAGCGCTTATCATGGCCATTCGCGTGATTCGCAATGCTCAGGTGAAATGCTATAGTAATACTATAAATATGCGGAAGCATTTCATATCACGCATAAGGCCCCATGATTTCTGCAATGAATGAATGGCGGGCCGCACTGTTTTGTTTACTACACACCAGAGGTGTAATGAGTACCTAAAAACTTAACTTGAGTAAAAGTACAGATACCTTACAGTGAAAATTACTCCACTACACGTTACAAGTCACCAATTTCAAAACAACTTGAGTAAAAGTCTTAGAGTATCTGATTTTAACAGTACTTAAGTATTTT